AAGCAGGAGATTCGAGTCTCAGTCAGCTACTACAGACCCATAACAAACGGTCTATGATGATAGCAGTGAAGTACATTCCTCCACAAGACAACAGAAGGCCCAGACCGGAGTACGACAGAAGGAACAGGGTATAGCATGACTCTAGCAGTAAAGGCTGCTTCAAGTTCGAATACGAATGAATCTCGAATTTTAATTATGGGGGACTTCAAGAACGACAAGATAGACTGGGAGACCTTTACAGGGGCTTGGATACATGGATGACCTTTATTGATGGTTGTTGTAACAATCAGTTTTGTTAGCTAAGTCAATGAGCCTACCAGAACTTCATTCACAGCAGTGTTGGAGGAAGACTTCATTCACAGCAGTGTTGCAGGAAGACTTCATTGACAGCAGTGTTGTAGAAAGACTTCATTCACAGCAGTGTTGGAGGAAGACTTCATTCACAGCAGTGTTGGAGGAAGACTTCATTCACAGCAGTGTTGGAGGAAGACTTCATTCACAGCAGTGTTGGAGGAAGACTTCATTCACAGCAGTGTTGGGAAGACTTCATTTACAGCAGTGTTGGAGGAAGACTTCATTCACAGCAGTGTTGGAGGAAGACTTCATTCACAGCAGTGTTGGAGGAAGACTTCATTCACAGCAGTGTTGGAGGAAGACTTCATTCACAGCAGTGTTGGAGGAAGACTTCATTCACAGCAGTGTTGGAGGAAGACTTCATTCACAGCAGTGTTGCAGGAAGACTTCATTTACAGCAGTGTTGGAGGAAGACTTCATTCACAGCAGTGTTGGAGGAAGACTTCATTCACAGCAGTGTTGGAGGAAGACTTCATTCACAGCAGTGTTGGAGGAAGACTTCATTCACAGCAGTGTTGGAGGAAGACTTCATTCACAGCTTAAAATATTTCTAAGACACAAAAGATTCTAGAACCTGTACGAGTCTAGGGTTAAGAAGCGGGGCCCAAGAGCTAATACCCAACCACTCGAAGCACAACACACAAAAGGCTAAAAAAAAACAAAAAAGTAGAACGTTGTAAAGCGTCCGAAAAAAGGCAGACGAGACATTTTACAAAACGCATGCAAAAACTTGTGTCCCACAAGGGCCTCGTCCCGAGACAATACTCCCGAGGGAGAAGTAGCTACAACATGTGTGTGTCAGGGCTTCCTTCCTTCCTTCCTTCATTCCTTCCTTCATTCCCCTCCTTCTCCGTCAATTGCCCCCCCCCACGTCCCTTCCTCTATCTCACCCCCGTCATCTCCTCCTCAGAGCCCCCTACTGAGAGCTTCATTGTTAGACTAAAATCTAATTGTAGCCACGAGGGCGACGTCTTGGGAGACTGCGGCTTTAAGGTCCACCTCCAAAGACCGTAATGAACGACAGGGAATGAGCAAACAAGAGGCCGAGGACGACGTGTGAATATGAGATGGCTTCTGTCTGATGCACCTGTTGTGTCGTTGACGTGTTGACGCACCTGACGTGTCGTCGACGTGTTGACGCACCTCATGTGTCGTCGACGTCTTGACGTACCTGACGTGTCGTCGACGCACTTGAGTCCTGCCACAAGGTTCCACGAAACCTTCTCAGAAACTGAGAAGGTCAAACAAGAGAAACCTTCTCAGAAAACTGGTCAGACTCTTGTCTGACCAGTTGAGATCACACGTCTTCTTGTTCAACGAGAACCTGAGAGAGCAAAGGTTATTGGTCCGGATCGTCAGCCATGTGTGTGATGTGGGAGCCATGTGGAAGCCATGTGGGAGATGTGGCTTTGAGTGTAGGGCCATGGGAGAACGATGGCTTAATGGCTCATTGGTCCCTCGATGCTGGAAGTGTGCGGACTAACATGTGTAACTTTGCCTAACTGTGTTTCCAAGTTGTCAACTGTGTTCACCTGACACCCTCCCTCGCGGTGGTCTTACGTATGTGGTATACAGGGTTCTGAAGGAGTCCTTACACTGGGATCTGAAGGCTGTTCTGATGTTAGCCAGCCTTGCATACGCCGTCGATGTTATTCTTTTGATGTGGGCTTCAGGAGACAGGTTTGGTGTGATATCAACTCCTAGATCTTTCTCTCTGTACGTTTCGTGAAGGACTTCATATCCCAGTGTGTGTGTGTGTGTGTACTCCTCTAGTTGTACTCACCTAGTTGTACTTGCGGGGGATGAGCTCTGGCTCTTTGGTCCCGCCTCTCAACTGTCAATCAACTGGTGTACAGATTCCTGAGCCTACTGGGCTCATTTGGGTACTCAATCCCCACGTGTGTCCCCTTGTTCGCGTCCCACCCGTGTTAAACAGTGTGTGTGGGGCTCCCTTCAAGAACCCCAATTTTCTCTATAGCCACTCTTCACTTTCTCCTTTGCCCTTCAAGTGCTCTAACGTGTGTGTCTCGTGTCTCTCTCCCTCACTATCTCCCATTATATGTAGCTCTCTGCTTCTCTAATCCCCTGTCACTCTCCCTCCACATATCTCTCTCACTCCTTGTATACCATTTATCCGTCCCAATATCTCTCTCTTCCCCCTTTACTCACAATTCAATCTTCCTGTTCATCTGTCTCTTTCTATCTACAGCTTTATTCCCTATCTTCCTATCGCTCTCCTTTCCTTACCCTTCATTTCTTCTCAATTTTTTCTCGTCTATCCTTCTTCGCTCATCTCTCCCTCTCTATCTTTGCTTCCTTCTCCCTTTACTCACCTTTTTATTTCTCTCTCGCCATTATTGCCTCATCAAGGTCCGGTTAACCACCAATTTCATGGCAATTAGAGTTATAAAACAATGTAATTAGGCGCTCGCTCATCCGTTAAAACCTGGCTAATGGCGAACCTTTATCAGGGAGTGGTTCATCTTGTGTGTATATAGTCGCTTATATGTGCTTGCAGGGTTGAGCCTTAGCTCCCTAGCCCCGTCTTTCAATCCCTGTAGAGATTGGACAGGTTCCCAAGTGTTGACGTGTCTTCGTTAGAGGTAGTTTGGCTGTTGACCTTTCTTATAATGACCTCGTTCACATAATCGTATTGGTGGTTGGCGGGAACCTGTCTCATTCTACAGGGGTCGTCGGTGGTTGGCGGAACCTGTCTCATTCTACAGGGGTCGTCGTACCTGTTTCCCATTGGTCGATTCATAGGTCTTGACAGTTTGTTCCCAAGGGCCTCTGCTGGGGTCCCAAGAGCCTCTGCTGGGGTCCCTAGAGCCTCTGCTGGGGTTCCAAGAGCCTCTGCTGGGGTCCCTAGAGCCTCTGCTGGGGTCCCATGAGCCTCTGCTTGGGTCCCAAGAGCCTCTGCTGGGGTCCCAATCTGCTGGGGTCCCTAGAGCCTCTGCTGGGGTTCCAAGAGCCTCTGCTGGGGTCCCTAGAGCCTCTGCTGGGGTCCCAAGAGCCTCTGCTGGGGTCCCTAGAGCCTCTGCTGGGGTCCCAAGAGCCTCTGCTGGGGTCCCTAGAGCCTCTGCTGGGGTCCCATGAGCCTCTGCTGGGGTCCCTAGAGCCTCTGCTGGGGTCCCATGAGCCTCTGCTGGGGTCCCTATGTAACACCGTGGCAGTTATTAACTTCGTTAGCCATGCCTGTGTCATTGCTCAAGGAGTGTCATGCCAGTCTGTAACGTGATTGGATAAGCCGCTCTCTATACATACATGTTTGTTAATATTAAACCATCCTAGCTTCTACTGCTACTAACTGCGTTCAAGACTTGAACTGCCACACAGGGTAATTAACACCACTGAAGCTTCTTGTATCGCAGTAACTCAAATATTGCTGTCGGACCCCTTGAGTTGTGGTTGATGATGATGGTTGATAGCCGGATGAACCAGTAAGAAGATTAGAATTAGGATTTAGACTTGTTCTGTTTAGGACTGAGGGAACAATGGCAGATGCTACGATATAACTACATTCTCTGGGGACATTATCTAAGGGACACTGTCTGGGGACATTATCTAAGGGACACTGTCTGGGGATATTATCTAAGGGACACTGTCTGGGGACATTATCTGGGGGACACTGTCTGGGGACATTATCTGGGGGACACTGTCTGGGGACATTATCTGGGGGACACTGTCTGGGGACATTATCTGGGGGGACACTGTCTGGGGACATTATCTAAGGGACACTGTCTGGGGACATTATCTGGAGGACACTGTCTGGGGACATTATCTGGGGGACACTGTCTGGGGACATTATCTGGGGGACACTGTCTGGGGACATTATCTGGGGACACTGTCTGGGGACATTATCTGGGGGACACTGTCTGGGGACATTATCTGGGGAACACTGTCTGGGGACATTATCTGGGGGACACTGTCTGGGGACATTATCTGGGGGGGACACTGTCTGGGGACATCATTTTCGTGTCACGTCACAGCAAGACAGTGATGTGACAGACAACAGAGTTACAGTATAGTGAAGTGTAAGCATAAATATGAGTCAGTTTCCACTCAGATGGAAGCATGATACAGCCAGCATGATACACTGACCTCTGCGATACATACACTGACCTCAGCGATACATACACTGACCTCAGCGATACATACACTGACCTCAGCGATACATACACTGACCTCTGCGATACATACACTGACCTCAGCGATACATACACTGACCTCTGCAATACATACACTGACCTCAGCAACTGCCAGCACTCTACACCCTGTGTACACTCAGTATCGGTGTCGTGTATACTTATCATACGCTCTTCAGAATCATACTAAGGCTACTAGTACGCTCTTGCAGTAGATTGCAATGTTTGTGTTAGAGATCTGTCGGTGTGCAATGAACACCCCTCCCCCCCCACCCCACACACCCCCACACACACAAATCTACATCTACCCACCCACATCTACCCACCCCATCTACCCACCCCGTCTACCCACTTTGGGGTAATTTACCCAGCTGGGGAAAGCACTGATTTAAACCTTTATTTCGTATTAAATAATACATGTCCATAATTAATTTGCTTATATAACATGTTAATTTTTTGTTTCACGTGGTAATTAATGTTTCATGTTTATTATTTACCAAGAGCGGACCCATCGCTTGCGTGGGAGTGTTTACGGTGAGTGAGGCTCATTCTGTCTCCCTGAGTGAAGGTGAATGTTTCATTCATCTCTCTCTCCATCCTACATTCTTAACCTCAGAGTAAATAAATTCCCTTTTGGCACTGAATATCTCTTAATACATATAATATATAATATTATATAATACATATAATGTGCATATAATTAATAGCTGATGTTATATATAAATATATTATATAAATAACCCTTTCTTCCTGACCGATGGGGCTTATTCTGACAGTAATTGTTGAGAGTAGACTTATTCTTGACAGCTTGACTGTTGCTTCAAGCAACGTGTGAGTATTTTGAGTCAAGTGACTAGGCCCACCTCAGCCTCGACTTGACCTCCTCCTTCAAAACAAGCCCCTCCCCCCTCCCCCCCTCCCCCCGCTCGAGCAGCAGCTGGTGTCAAGGATGATGTTTAATGTTCGTGTTGATATCTTCCAGATTACCTTGGGCGTCGAACGGTCAGGTTTAGCAAAGGTTGGTAACCTTGTTTTGGTGTCTCCTCGCACGATGGTTGGTAGCCCTGTCATCTGTCCCTCCGTGTTGAGCTGGTGTGTGTGAGAGGGGGGGGGGGGGGCGCTGCTGGTGTGTGTGAGAGAGGGGGGGGCTGCTGGTGTGTGTGTGAGAGGGGGGCGCTGCTGGTGTGTGTGAGAGAGGGGGCTGTTGGTGTGTGTGAGAGGGGGGGCTGGGTGGTGTGAGAGAGGGGGCTGCTGTGTGTGAGAGAGGGGGGCGCTGCTGGTGTGTGTGAGAGGGGGGGGGCTGCTGGTGTGTGTGAGAGGGGGGGGGCTGCTGGTGAGTGTGAGAGAGGGGGGGGGCTGGTGTGTGTGAGAGAGGGGGGGCTGCTGGTGTGTGTGAGAGAGGGGGGGACGCTGGTGTGTGTGAGAGAGGGGGGCGCTGCTGGTGTGTGTGAGAGAGGGGGCTGCTGGTGTGTGTGAGAGGGGGGCGCTGCTGGTGTGTGTGAGAGAGGGGGCTGCTGGTGTGTGTGAGAGGGGGGCGCTGCTGGTGTGTGTGAGAGGGGGAAGCTGCTGGTGTGTGTGTGAGAGGGGGGCGCTGCTGGTGTGTGTGAGAGAGGGGGCGCTGCTAGTGTGTGTGTGAGAAGCCCTGCTAGTGTGAGAGAGGCCCTGCTAGTGTGTGAGAGGTCCTGCTAGTGTGTGTGTGAGAAACCCTGCTAGTGTGAGAGAGGCCCTGCTAGTGTGTGAGAGGTCCTGCTAGTGTGTGTGTGAGAAACCCTGCTAGTGTGAGAGAGGCCCTGCTAGTGTGTGAGAGAGGCCCTGCTAGTGTGTGTGAGAGAAACCTGCTAGTGTGAGAGAGGCCCTGCTAGTGTGTGAGAGAGGTCCTGCTAGTGTGTGTGTGAGAAACCCTGCTAGTGTGTGAGAGAGGCCCTGCTAGTGGGTGAGAGAGGCCCTGCTAGTGTGTGTGTGAGAAACCCTGCTAGTGTGTGTGAGACCCTGCTAGTGTGTGAGAGAGGCCCTGCTAGTGTGAGAGAGGTCCTGCTAGTGTGTGAGAGAGGCCCTGCTAGTGTGAGAGAGGCCCTGCTAGTGTGTGAGAGAGGCCCTGCTAGTGTGAGAGAGGCCCTGCTAGTGTGTGAGAGGTCCTGCTAGTGTGTGAGAGGTCCTGCTAAGTTCATCTTCACTATAGGCCTAAGTATCGTAGTGGCTCTGTACAGTAGCTTGGGTGCTTCACGGTACTACTGTGTCCCTTAACTGCTTTGTCGTATTTCACAGTTCACTGTCTTTATATACACACACACACACAGGTGTCTCTATGTACATAGTTATACATATTTTCATACATACAAATATATACATATACTGCATCTAACATGTACGGCATAGTGTTGATGGTGTCCTCGTCACTATATGTACGGTGTTGATGGTGTCCTCGTCACTATATGTACGGTGTTGATGGTGTCCTCGTCACTATATGTACGGTGTTGATGGTGTCCTCGTCACTATATGTACGGTGTTGATGGTGTCCTCGTCACTATATGTACGGTGTTGATGGTGTCCTCGTCACTATATTGCAACATCACTGTATCAGACCATGACGTAGAAGCCACGGCACTGTAGCCACTGACGGGACTGACTAGGACATCACAGTACAGGACGTCACTCTACAGGACGTCACTCTACAGGACATCACTGTACAGGACGTCACTGTACAGGACATCACTGTACAGGACACATGACATCACGACGACGTCCCCAGCACCCAGCTAGCAGATCAGCAGCCGTAGAGCAGGTGGGTACCTCATTACTCTACTCCAAGACTATACAGTTTCGACACTCAGTATCAAGCTCCCGGGCCCGGCTGGCTGGTACAGTGAAGCTCCTTGTACTGTATCCTACTGCCGGAGGCTGTGGATCATGGCCCTTTATCTCCCTTTCCCTCCCTTTCCCTCTCTCTTTCTCTCCCTCCCCTGCCCGTCTCTCACCTCTCACATCTCGACTATCAACAATGTGTCATCTGTCATCAACTCTTTCATCAATCGTTGTCTCGTGTTACATTTCTCTGCTAATAGGGTGTACTCTGTATTGCTGGCAGAGTGAGCAGTACTCTGCCGGTGCTTCTTCTATCCACACTACAGTGTACCCATGCCAGTGTACCTTGTAACCACCCCCCTGCTAGAGTGTCATGTGCCCTGTGAGAGTGTCATGTACTCTGCCATGAGCTGGTGTCATGTACTCTGCCATGAGCTGTACCCTGCCAAAGTGCCATGTATCTCTGCTAGAATACCACGTAAGCTGCCTGAATGTCCTGTACTCTGTCAGAGTACTCCACACTCTGCCAGAGTACTCTACACCCTGCCAGGGTACTCTACATCCTCCCAGAGTACTCTACATCCTCCCAGAGTACTCTACATCCTGCCAGGGTACTCTACACCCTCCCAGGGTACTCTACACCCTGCCAGGGTACTCTACACCCTGCCAGGGTACTCTACACCCTGCCAGGGTACTCTACACCCTCCCAGGGTACTCTACACCCTGCCAGAGTACTCTACACCCTGCCAGAGTACTCTACACCCTCCCAGGGTACTCTACACCCTCCCAGAGTACTCTACACCCTACCAGAGTACTCTACACCCTCCCAGAGTACTCTACACCCTCCCAGAGTACTCTACACCCTGCCAGAGTACTCTACACCCTGCCAGAGTACTCTACACCCTGCCAGAGTACTCTACACCCTGCCAGAGTACTCTACACCCTGCCAGAGTACTCTACACCCTGCCAGAGTACTCTACACCCTCCCAGAGTACTCTACACCCTACCAGAGTACTCTACACCCTCCCAGAGTACTCTACACCCTCCCAGAGTACTCTACACCCTGCCAGAGTACTCTACACCCTCCCAGAGTACTCTACACCCTGCCAGAGTACTCTACACCCTGCCAGAGTACTCTACACCCTACCAGAGTACTCTACACCCTGCCAGAGTACTCTACACCCTGCCAGAGTACTCTACACCCTGCCAGCGTACTCTACACCCTACCAGAGTACTCTACACCCTCCCAGAGTACTCTACACCCTCCCAGAGTACTCTTCACCCTCCCAGAGTACTCTACACCCTCCCAGAGTACTCCCAGAGTTAATTATTTAAATATAATTATTCAATGTATATACAGTAATTTAAATATACGAAAAATTATTAAGAAAGAAAATTAATTTCAAAAGTCCCCCTTGACTGTATGAATTTATTTAAAATTTTCCGCTTAGCTTTTTCGAGGATCAATCCAAAAAGCCAATCAAAAATATGCGACGAAGCCATTGCATCCTCTGCTCTCAACAACAGAAAAAACCTGCCTAAAATCCATAACATATGTACTTGTGTATTCTATTGCAAATGAGTTTTGATGCAATATCCCCCCCCCTTGCAGCTAGAGGCGTTATCTTGAGGTTATCTTGAGATAATTTCGGGGCTTTTTTTAGTGTCCCCGCGGCCCGGTCCTCGACCAGGCCTCCACCCCCAGGAAGCAGCCCGTGACAGCTGACTAACACCCAGGTACCTATTTTATTGCTAGGTAACAGGGGGCATAGGGTGAAAGAAACTCTGCCCATTGTTTCTCGTCGGCGCCTGGGATCGAACCCAGGACCGGCTGGATCACAAGTCCAGCGTGCTGTCCGCTCGGCCGACCGGCGTACTGCAACCCACTGGACAAACACTCCAAGTTGCAGCTTTTAAGAATTAACTTTGCAACATTGAAATTGGTTGTCATCCACAGCATCGCGGTAAATATCAACACAGCGCGAGGGGTCAATAGCGCTCCCAGCCTCACTTTTAAAGGTTTTCTGAGCATATTAGAATTCCAAGTTCATTTGGTTTGGGTACGAGTTCTGGAGCGTTATATTATTGACTCTTGGGTGAAGAATTGGATATCATTTTGTCATGTATCATTACCGTCACGTGTAAGACGATTCATACAGGTGATATATATATATATATATATATATATATATATATATATATATATATATATATATATATATATATATATATATATATATATATATACACTGATGTATTGAAGTCATGGTCATCTTTGCATCCTCAGGACGGACATCATATTCACTGACATCATATTCGGTGCACGATTTCTCGGTAAATGTACACTAAAATATTAATTTAGCTGTTGTTAAGGTATTGCTAGAGGTTGATGTAGTCTTTAGTTTGGCTTAGTGCTTGGTATAATTATTTCCACTACCGCTTTGGGTCAAGTTACAGCTTGGGAGACCAATCAAGTGTTAAGTGTGTACCCTTCTTCTCCTCCTCCTCCATGAGTGTAGCGGAGGTGTTGGGGTGTATGTGGGTCTCGACACCTTCCTACACTCATGGCGCTGTCGTTGTCTCACGGGACACAGTGATGGACACCTACCCTGCAGGCCTAGGTTCGAATCCTTGAAGCATCATTGCAGTTGAAAAAAAAATACCGTTGTTTGGGGACCATTCAAGGGTTACACATGTGTGTAATATATATATATATATATATATATATATATATATATATATATATATATATATATATATATATATATATATATATATATATATATATATATATATATATATATATGGTACATGGTGCCTGGACGTGGAGTTGATTATTGTGCTCCTGTGTCTTCTCTGAAATCCGCGAATATTTTTCAGAATTCCATTATATAATGACGCAAAGTAATGCGAGTAGTTCTGCTGACAGTTTGTGTACATTTAGTCAGTTCTACGTCAGCAGAGGTTGTTAGCTCCCAGAGGTACTTGTAGCCGAGCCTTGGCCTAGCAGAGGTGACATCTAGAAGTCTGCTGACCTTATTGGAAGGACTATTATGTGCCTATCTGGACCTTTCCACCACCGCCCTCGGGATGGGTATGGTGGGTCGGGGGGGGGGGCATAATAAAGAAATTGCGTCTTCTCTATATAATACATATATATAATTATATACATTTAAGAACCACTACACTCTGGCTTGACAAAGCGGAAGGGTCACATGTAATTACACAAGCAAAGACGTCTGAACTATCATTGCAAAACTGTCCTGTTTCACAATGATAGTTAAATGGTATTTATTTGTCTTAAATGAGGAAGATTAATGATTCATAACCACAAATTCTACCGAGGTGGTCGATACAAGGACAGTTGAAGACATGAGTAATTATAGTTAGGTAGTTAAGAATCGCGGGGAAGGCTGTTAGAACAGATGCCAGAGTTAAAGGTCCCCGGTGGGTAGTTAGAGGAGCTACAAGTAATTAAGGGTCATTCAAATGTAATTGGAAATAGCGGGGAGCGTTGATGATCGCATCTATGAGATTTATGAAGCGTTTTACAGTAGTTTAAAATTATCATCAACAGACGGCGGGTCAAAGGTGACTGTAGTTAACGTAGTGAACTACTCAACACACATTAAAAAGGTATTAAAAGCCGTATATAAACGAGTGACAAAGTGTAAACATGTTTCTGAAGAGTCGTCGACTTGAGGTTTCGGTTGGTGTTTGGACTCAGTCACTTGAGGTAATAATTAGTGAATATTATATTGAAAGTTCGTTTGAAAGGTCAGAGCCTTTATACCAGGTGACCCGCCACAGGGTGAGTGTGGGACTGTAGGGTACCCACAGGGTAGGGTGCCCCCAGGGTATACTACCCTAAGTGTACCACCAGTGAGGGGTACACTTGGGTGGTACACACAGGGTAGTGTACCACCAGTGAGAGGTACACTTGGGTGGTACACACAGGGTAGTGTACCACCAGTGAGGGGTACACTTGGGTGGTACACACAGGCTAGTGTACCACCAGTGAGAGGTACACTTGGGTGGTACACACAGGGTAGTGTACCAAAGGTAAAACCACATATGTGCCTTTTCACAGACACCAAATATACAGCTTTATCATTCGACTAGATAAGACAAACTATGTATAATCTGGCCCTCAGTATGATTCATTAGACCCCTAGTGGACCCCAGAAGGGCCCAGTGGACCCAAGAAGGGCCAACTGGACCCCAGTAGGGCCGACTGGACCCCAGCAGGGCCCAGTAGACCCCAGAATGGCCGACTGGACCCCAGTAGGGCCCAGTGGACCCCAGCAGGGCCCAGTAGACCCCAGAATGGCCGACTGGACCCCAGTAGGGCCCAGTGGACCCCAGTAGGGCCGACTGGACCCCAGCAGGGCCCAGTGGACCCCAGCAGGGCCCAGAGGACCCCAGTAGGGCCGACTGGACCTCACCGTGAGTCGTACCATCATAGACTCAGCTCTCGTTCCTCTCATCCTCAGGTTCCCCAGTGCCTGAGAAGCCCGTGGCCCTGACAGTGGTGCCAGGGCCACAGGTCGCCAACATGTACTCGGCTGCCTCAGACACGAAGCTCTCAGAGGACCTGACGCCAGCCACCACGCCCTCACACCCGACCTTCGAGCAGCTCACGCCCACGGACCAGGCTAAGGTCAGAGTCGCTCACGCGCTGAATCGGCTGAGTGGCGACTCCGGACAGACCTTCATACCTGATCCTGTGAGTATTACTGTGGGTCTGGGGAAGGAGGGAGAGGTTGTGGGAGGGAGGGAGAGGTAGTGGGAGGGAGAGAGAATTTAGGATAGTTTAATAATCTCCTTTTAAGAGATCACACAAATTATTTAATTTCATTGTGAAGTTCAGCTAGCATACTGGCAGAGGAAATGAATAACTGGGGTTAATTTTGTTGTCAGAACTTACGATAGAACTGACCATATCACTGACACAAATCGTAGCAACTGTGGATGGCTGGTCACTGCAGTCACTGCACAGTCACTGCACTCTCCACGGTCTTCTCTGAGGTCTACTCCTTCTTCCCGACTTTCCTAGTTGGTCCTTATATATGACCTTCCTCTTGGGTCAGTTCACTCTTCAGATATTTAACTACAATAAGTTTGAATCATATTATGCTTCTCTTACGTCTCTGGGGAGATGTCGAAGCAGTTTACATCATGGTCATAAATTACAAAATATTTTAAATGTCAACACTTGGTTTATTATCATTAATGTTCCTTATTCCGCTTGGAAGATATAATTAGTTAGCACTGGCCAAAGTTGACGTCTCCAGAGATCTGAGAGAGACTTGCCAGTAATCTCGACCTGTATGTGAAGGTTAGGGAGGTAAGGGTGTGGTCAGGGAGGGGATGGACTATAGTGTTAATACACCATGCATGTTGGTCAATATAAACCAGTCGCCGCATTATGGATCTATATAATGCAAAACCATGTTTAGATATGTGACACCATTTTCACCTACAGGAATGACATACACGCTTTTAATAACCTGAAATCAAACTAACTATTGTTTGTCTCGAGACGCTAATCTGTAATTGAGTTACTTATGACAAAAGTCTTGAGATGGGTCAGATGAAAGATCTCTTCACCGGACCTGACTTCTTTCTTTTCGCAAACTTCAAAGGTATATGTCTGTCTGTGTGTCTCTTTTCTGTCACTAATTCTGTGGTCCCTTCTACGAGTGTTGAAGTCCCTCTTCAAGCATCATCTCGTAATACCCACCTCAAAGGTCTTCATGTTTGATATTTGTATTAATATTTCAAGAATAAAATGCTATGCTCTCTTTCATATTTATATTCCACGGTGCTCAGGGAATAGTGCCACCAAATATTTAATGAAACACGTTTGATCTCAAATTATTCAGCAAAGGTTGTGCATTCCTGAGTGGACAACTTTGTAATAATATATTCTGCAACTGTATTTTTTCACCAATCACATATTTGCGCAATATTTTCCCTTTAGCCGGAAAATAATTGCAAGTGAGAGGGCAAATGAGCCAGAATGCGTGTGTGTTTGTCCGTAATATTTGCCCTTGTAATATATTAACTGCCGGAGCTTGCTGAATGACTGAGGATTGATCAATACAAAGTACTAACGACTGTGATCACTTCCGCAGGACAGTGAAGGGGGCAGAGGCTACGTGCCCTTCGTGGACTACAGCGGCAGGGACTATGCTCCAGTACCCAATGGTCGACGTGCCTCCTTCAGCGACCTGGGGCCATACACTCACCCGGGTCCTCCGACTTCGATTTCCTCCGCCACGACTGACTTCTGCACCATCAGGAGAGGGACGAGAGGCAGCGACCTGGCGGCTGAGAACGGCAGAAGCCTGCTGGCCTCTCCTAACTACCACGACACCTCGAGTTTGCGTCACAACGGCAACGCCCACACACTTTCCCGCCATTCTGCGTACTCAACCGGCCGCGCCACGACCTACGGCTCTCCGCCGCCTCCACCATACCCTAAGAACCCTAAAATAGGGTCCCCACGAGGGGCCCCCTCTCCCACGGGGCCCCAAGCCCTAACACTCCCTAATTCCATCGTGCACACCGACGAACACGGGTCACCCGAGGCGAAGTATATCTTTTCTCCTGAAGCCATGATGAAGCCAGGCACTCTGGTGTGACCCGAGCTTCTTCCTTGTCTTGACGGGAGCTGAGACATCGCTGAGAGCCGGGAGTTCGCCCTCCTGCTCCGCCACTCTCAGCGCTCTCAGGAGAACCCTTCACCTGGGCTTTTAGATACTTGTGGAGGTGTACATTAGTAAACTCCGAGTGTGGTCCTGAAGTACAGCTTAATGACTCCCCCCTTTTCCGTCTGTTAGAGCCGCAACCTCTGTGGAGCTTCCACCCTCTCTGTGGAGCCTCCATCCTCTCTGTGGAGCCTCCACCCTCTCTGTGGAGCCTCCACCCTCTCTGTGGGGTCCCGCGGAGGCTACTGACATGACATTCAGTGCGTCATCAAAGTGGGGTAACCTCAGTGGTGCTTCGAAAAGAGGCAGTCGAGGTGCGTGTGGACTGTAGTTGGTCTCATTACCCGCCGCCATCACTCTCGGGGACTCTGACCGCTGCCATTATGGCCGCCAAACGCTAGTAAGTGCACTCCTGCTTCGCTTCGTATTCCAAAAGAGTCTTAGACGATTTTATTGATAATGAAATGGTTCTTATCCTGAATTTTGAATTCAGAACAGCAAAGGAGTGACTGTGTGTGTGTGTGTGTGTGTGTGTGTGTGTGTGTGTGTGTGTGTGTGTGTGTGTGTGTGTGTGTGTGTGTGTGTGTGCGTGCGTGTGCTCACACTGCTCTCAGTTGCCAGCGGAAAATGAGAGAATGTAGTCTTTTTCACCGACCTATGTAGTGATTGCCAAAAGGGTACATGAACAGACTTTTATCTTAGAGGTGATTGCACCTGCAGATCACTTCCTAACTACCCCCAGACGTTGATGTGGTGACAAGGCGAACTTACCACACGGGCTCCTTATCCTTTTCCTTAACGAGCCGGTAAGCACTGTGGCATTAATACACAAGTTAACAGTTTACTGATCACAAACCCGAAACTCGCCGGGCGGCGCGCGCGCACATGTTCTGAATAGCAGCTGGTCATTGTTAGCGTCAACAACAGCTGGACATTAATGAGACAATAGATGGAGATGTTTCTCAGTGTGACAGAACACAGATACAAAACACAGTAGAACGAAAATTTGTATAATTCCTTTTTTTCTGATTTGTCCTGCGCTTGATAAGTCTAGTAACCTAGAGTCAGGGAGTTAATCTATTAGGTGACTGAGGCCTCCAAACACCCGTGATTGACCTTGCACCAGGAAGCCACCCACAATAGTTGCCTACCTCCAGGTACCTATTTACTGTTGGATGAACAGAGGCATCGGGTGTAAGGAATTGTCTTCAGACGTGTCTCTTTCTTGGTGCGGAATCCCACACTCGGAAACCTTTTGTATGTGAACCTTGTTGCAAGGAGACAGACAGACATACAGCCTCAATCACCTTCACGAAGGTGGTCCAACACCCACCTGGTGGGTGAAGATGACCCAGGGGTCACGGGGGGGGGGGGCGTAGCCCCTGGGTAACTACCCAATAACAACTCTAACAGTTTTCGCTCCATCCTCGAGGCCGGGAGCCCAGCTTCACCTCGTCTCCTCAGCCCTAACAGAATTTGCTTTTCCAATTTGAGCTCGACAATAATAGTCTCCTTGTTCGCGGAGACAATTAAAGAGGCAAGACGGTCGTGCCAAGATAGACAATTACACTGTCGACGACTACAAGATGGTTGTTAGACTGTGAAAGCAACTCAAGTTACCCCAGCTGGAGCTCCGAGAGGAAATTCAAATTAAGTTTCGATAAAAGTGAACTTGCGTACGACGAACTTGACAACGATCTCGTGAGAGGTTGTCGAGGACACCCTGGGGTCTTGATATGGTTGTCGAGGACACCCTGGGGTCTTGATATGGTTGTCGAGGACACCCTGGGGTCTTGATGTGGTTGTCGAGGACACCCTGGGGTCTTGATAGAAGTTGTCGAGGACACCCTGGGGTCTTGAAGAGGTTGTCGAGGACACCCTGGGGTCTTGATATGGTTGTCGAGGACACCCTGGGGTCTTCATGTGGTTGTCGAGGACACCCTGGGGTCTTCATGTGGTTGTCGAGGACACCCTGGGGTCTTCATGTGGTTGTCGAGGACACCCCTGGGGTCTTGAAGAAGTTGTCGAGGACACCCTGGGGTCTTGAAGAGGTTGTCGAGGACACCCTGGGGTCTTGAAGAGGTTGTCGAGGACACCCTGGGGTCTTGATGTGGTTGTCTAGGACACCCTGGGATCTTGAAGAGATTGTTGAGGACACCCTGGGGTCTTGAAGAGGTTGTCGAGGACACCCTGGGGTCTTGAAGAGGTTGTCTATGACACCCTGGGGTCTTGATGTGGTTGTCTAGGACACCCTGGGGTCTTGATGTGGTTGTCTAGGACACCCTGGGGTCTTGATGTGGTTGTCGAGGACATCTTGGACACAGACGAGGGGGGGAGGGCGGTATAAGGGCCGTAAGTCCTTGGGTGACAAGTCGTTGTCTGTCGAGCAAGATGCTCGACAGGGGAAAATCCTGTCATCTGTCCAACTCTCACAACTCTGCCTTTTCTTGTGGAGGTCTTTATAGGGGAAACAATTGACCAATTACTCAGTTAATGGACTGTTAGGCACGCTTCAATTAGCTCCTTCTAAGGGCTCGTTCAGAACTTGGCACTCTCGCTGCAGGCCAGTAGTCTCCTTCCATTCTTGAAGGACTTTCAGAAGTTTCTCATTTAGATTCTCATCATTTTTGTTTATCTCCTTCTTCCTTGTCTCTCTTCTTTAATTAATTTTTCCTCTAGCATTCACTTCATGAGCTTCTCTCATACGACTCTTGTACTTAGGCCCCCAGAGTTCGCTGTTGCTAGGGAGGTTAAACAGCTTTATCTTAGAAGACGCTGAACAACATTTATGCGTCTGGGATGTAAATAAACTTTGAGCAGCGATTACCTGATCAACCAGGCTGTGACTCATACGTCAGGCTGCGAGCAGCCGCGTCTAACAGCCTGGTTGATCAGTCCAGCAACCAGGAGGCCTGGTCGACGACCGGGCCGCGGGGACACTAAGCCCCGGAAGCACCTCAAGGTAACCTCAAGGTAGCGTGCGTTACTGCTTCTGGGAGACCAATGACTGAAAACTAACAATAAATTTCAAGAATTTGTGAAAAAAAATTCCTGGTCTAAATTTGTGGGTATTTACCGTTTATTGTCAAAACAAAAGATGGCTTTAGTTTTCCGTGCAGTGGGAGCCGGGAGGCCTGATACGCTAACAGTATTGCAATAATTCCCATCCAAATATTCCTCGTGCGTTAAAAGCTGTCATTCTATCAAATCTGGAGAGCGCAGTGTTTGCCCCGGCCAGCTGATGGTAGCCACACACACACCCACACACACACACACACACACACACACACACACACACACACACACACACACACACACACACACACACACACACACACACACACACACACACACACACACACACACACGGTCAGTTGATAGACAGTTGAGAGGCGGGACCAAAGAGCCAAAGCTCAACCCCCGCAAGCACAAATAGGTGAGTACACACACACACACAAACACACACACACACACACACACACACACACACACACACACACACACACACACACACACACACACACACACACACATACACATACACATACACATACACACACACACGATAACATTACTCTGTGTGTGTATGTACAGAAGTGAGAGATTCCACGTATGTCAGACCAACAAGACCCGCTTCAACAAGATCCCTGCACGAAAAGCAACTTTCAATCCGCCATATATTATATATCAATCCCCCCCCCCCTCCCCAAACGAGGTAAAACACTTCCGTATAAGCGTGCAAATCGACTCTGAACTACGAAAAAGGTTCCTGTATGTTATCTTCCACAATGAAGCTATGAACACACTACTCGAGTGTGAGACTTGTACTCTCGTGTGTAAAGTCTCCACGGTGTCATGGGTAAATGTAGTCCAAGACTTGTACTCTCGTGTGTAAAGTCTCCACGGTGTCATGGGTAAATGTAGTCCAAATCTCTCGATTTGGTACTCCGTACAAAAGTGGCACTGTTTTGACTGACGGGAAGCGTACGAATCCCAGCAACCCACATAAGCTACCTAGGCCGATGTATGGAAATATTTGTGTTTCTATCATGTCTTAGTTTTGACTACTGCGTCGTGTTGTTAACGGATTGGTAGATTGGTTAAAAAATAAAGAGGCATAAGGTGAGAGGACGGGTTGAAAGATTGGTCAGTTCTGCTCTAGTAGAGCAGTGAGAGAGTGCCTGGTGCTGGCACTCGTTGATCGGCCTGTCGTTAACAAGGGATAAATGCTCGTTAATCATGCCGCCAAACCGGTTCTTATTAATAGAAAAAACACCTCACACAACTCAACTGATGGTGTGTCCTTTCGAACAGTGCTCGAAAACACACTGTTCGAATCACGAATCAAAAACTGTTGGAATTCGAATCACGATCGAAAAACGCGAATCGCGCGGTTCGAGATGAGAAAACACGAGATATACGAATCGTGTTTCGAAATACTTCATACACGTTCACCCCCTCCCCCGCTCAGTTCGTTGTCGCCGTCTGGGGGCTTAGTGGGCGGCTGCCGGAGTGTGATGCTCCTTGGGACAGTCCTCTGTCCTTTTCTAGCCTTGTGCTCCTGCTGCCGTCCTCTCCAATTCTGCTGGGCATCTTTTCCTTTTCCTTCTGTTTCGTTTTTCTCCCCCCTCTTCTCCTATCTGCTTGCCGTTTCCTGCCGACCTTTTGCTCGTTCTGGTTCTTCCCTTGGACTTCTTCTACTTTGACGCCCGGGTGCTTGAGGAGGCATACTCTTGCACCCGTAGAACTGCAGTACCCGACGTCGAGAGCGAGGGGAACCTTTTATTGTCAATCCCCACTTCGTCACTGAACCCGATCTCGACGGACTGTCGGTTTCTTAAGGTGGCGTTTGTGGGGCGTATACTCACGACGCACCCCTAGGAGGCCCCGACAAGATCGGCGATAGCTTCTTGTTGGGTGTCCTGCCTCTAATTGTGGCTCCATGGTGGGTGTGGGGGCACATTCGTGAGTGAATTCGTAATTTCGTCAAGATGATAACCCCTGTTTCGGCTGCTTCTGGCTTCCCTTTTCAGGCTCGTGGGGTGGGCGACCAAGCCCCCGAGTCGGTCCGTATTGGAAGACCGGGCTCTGTAGCCTCCGCTGCATTGGGCCCCGACCTTGCTCCTCCTTTGGCCTCTCTGACTCCTTCCCCTGGCTCCCCTCCCTCCTCTGTGGTTGGGTCGAGCCCCAAGCCCCCAGTGGTGACTACCTCGTCCCCTGGCGCGGCTCCTTCTCTAGTTGTTACTACTGCGCCTTTTAACCCCTCTCTCTCTGGGGGTTCTCACCGCCGTTCTCGTCACGGCCGCCCTCGCTCGATTCCTTCCAGTTCTGCTACCTATCAAGCCTTGTTTGGTCCCGCTTCGTGGGCCAAATATTTTGATCTCCTCCCTCTTGATTCTGCGCCTCCTGACGATTTCTCCCTTCATCGACATCTCATTGATTCCGTGGATGCCTCCATTACTTTTAACCCCACTCGTCTCGGTACGCGTGTCGTTGCTGCTCCTTCTCAGGATGCTGCTTCCCGCTTGGCTGCCTTATCCTGCCTTGGCGAGACCCCCGTTCGGGTCTCGAAGAACGTCCAGTTGAATGCCAGTGTTGGCACTATTTTGCTCCCGCCCCATGTTGCGACCGGTGTTCGGGACCTACGCGACTGCCACGACGATATTCGACATATCCTCGCTGCCCAGGGCCATTCTATTCTCCAGGTGGACACGTTTACTCGTCCCCCTCGTGGTAATCGCCGTCAACCCCTCCGGGTTGTGAAGATTACCTTTGATGGTAGGACCCTTCCACCCTCTGTCATTCTTGCTGGTGCCAGGTGCTCTGTCCAGGAGTACATTCCTTCTCCTCGGCTCTGCAACAAGTGCTGGAGGTTTGGGCATGGTGCCCTCCGCTGCTCCGGGACTGTCTCTCTCTGTCCTTTGTGTGGTGGCGAAGGTCACTCTAAGTCGGAGTGCGCTTCTCCCCAGGCTCGTTGCCTCAACTGCGGTGAGGCCCATCCTACCTTCTCCCGTGCGTGTGTCCATTACAAGCTTGAGGCAGCCGTCCTCAACTTGAAGCACCGGGAGCGTTTATCTTTTCCTGAGGCGAGGCGCCAGGTTCGCCGGCTCCCGCCTTATGCTAATATCTCTTATGCTCGCGTGTTGCGCTCTTCCTCTCCTCGTCCTTCCCGCCTTCCTCAGACTCACAACCGTTTCCAGGCCTTGGACCCTGATGCGCCCACTGCCCCCTCCTCTGTCCCTTTGGGTTCTCTCCCGAAGGATCCTCCTCCTGGTCCTCTGTCTGGGGTTCCCCTTCCTTCTACCCGGTCTGTCGTGTCTTCTGTGTCTCCTTCCTCGTCCCCCTCCGATCCTCCTTCCCATCCTCTTCCTCCATCTATCGGCTCTCCCCGCCGCCTGTCGGTGCGGGCGGATGTCCATCGCTCTCCTAACGGCCGTCGTGTGTGCTCTCGTTCGGCTTCTCCTGTTGAGACACTGGAGTCCGTTGCCCGGTACGTAGTTGCTGGGACACCGGTCTCTTTAAGTCAGAAGCGTAAGCCTGGCTCCTCTCCTTCCTCTTCCCCGGCGGGTAAGAAGGCTTCGCTTTCTTCCTCAGCTCCTCCTTCTGGCTCTGTTGCTCCTTCCACTCCCGTTTCAGTGCTTGCGCCCCCTGTTCCTGCTATGGAGGTTTCTTTGGCCCCTGCTTCCCTTTCGGTTGCTGCTCTTGCTGGGGTGCGCTCCTCTCTTTCTACTCCCCCTCTTCCTGCTGCTGTCCTTGACTGCTCCTCTCCGTTGTCTCCTCCTCCTCCTCCTCCTCCTCCTCCGGACCCTGCCCGCCCACCTCTGATCTGTTCTCCCGTTTCCTTCCCTCCGTCTTTGCTCAGTTTACCCATGCCCCCTAACCCTGACTTTGCTGACCCTGATCCCGACCCTGATATTCTTTAACGTGCTCTGTTGGTCTTTCGCCTTTGTTTCTTCCTTGTTCTCTGTTTTTGTCCTTTCTCTTCTCGTCGTTGTCCATTCTTCAATGGAACGTTCGAGGTTATTACGCCAATTTCCTCGAACTCCAACTTCTGGTTTCGCGGTTTTCGCCCCTTTGTGTCTGTCTCCACGAGCCGATGCTCGGTGCTCGTCCTGGTCGTTTTCGTGGCTATTCCTTTCTCTCCCCCCCCCCAGCCATTGCTGGGGCTTCTAATTCTTCTGCTCTCTTGATTCGGGCTGATGTTCCCTTTGTTCCTTTACTTTTTCCTTCGCCTCTCCATTGTTCTGCTGCTCGTATCTTTGTGGGGAAATGGTACACAGTTTGTTCCATTTATCTCCCCCCGAGTGTCCCGCTCTCTCTTCCTGATTTGAAACACCTCCTAGACTCCTTGCCGGAGCCTGTGCTCCAGCTGGGTGACTTCAATTGTCGTCATTCTCTTTGGGGTGACGTTCTGACGAATACCCGGGGTCGCCTCCTTGAGCCGTTTCTCCTCTCTTCTTCCCTGTCTCTTCTGAATTCTGGTGAGCCCACTCATTTGGACTCTCGAACTCGCACCCTTTCTTGTCTTGATCTTTCTCTCTGCTCTTCTTCTCTTTACTTAGATTTCACATGGCAGGTTCTTGATGACCTCCATGGAAGTGATCATTTCCCCATCCTTGTTTCCTTTTTCTCTTTTCGCCCTTCCCTCTCTTTCCCTAGGTGGCAGTTTGCTAAGGCGGACTGGACCCTGTTTTCCCTCAGTGCTACTCTCTCTGACCTCTCCCTTCTGCCCCTCTCTCGCGCTCTCCTCCTTTTTCATGACACTGTCTTCGACGCTGCCCTCCGCTCAATTCCTCGCTCTTCCTCTCGGGGTCCACGGAAGTGCGTTCCCTGGTGGAATGCGGACTGTGCTCGGGCTGTCCGCTGTAAGCGTGCAGCCTGGAGGAAGCACCGCCGTAGGCAGACGACCGATTCTTTTCTTTTCTTTCGGAAAGCGAGTGCGGTGGCCCGTAGGGCCATCCGTACGGCTAAACGTGAATGTTGGGCATCTTATGTCTCGACAATTACGTCCGAAACCCCTCTGGCCCAGATCTGGAAGCGTATCCGCAAGATAGCGGGCAAGTTCGTTCCCGATGTTTCACCGGTCCTTCACCTCCATGATACTCTTGTGGCGGACCCGTTGCAGGTCGCTTCCGAACTGGGTTCCCACTTTTCTTCTGTTAGCTCTGGTCTTCATCTTCCCCAATCTTTCCTTCTTCGTAAACCTGTCCTTGAGTCTCGTCCTTTAGATTTCTGCACTCATCTTCAGCTTCCCTATAATGATCCCTTCTCTCTCTCTGAACTTCGTTCTGCCCTGGCCCTCTGCGGTTCTACGGCGGCGGGCTCCGATGGTATTCATTATGAGA